TGAGAAATTGATGAATAAGTGAATATTTTGTGAGGAAAATGAAATATGTTATTCGAACAGTCCTCTTACACACCGTGCCAATCTCTTTTTCTAAATAATGTGCCCTCTTTTGTAACTTCAACGTATAGCCATCAAATTGACTTGCTATAAATATACTTTTCATATATAACAAATTAAAACGAATGTTCTGGTACTGAATATGAACGTTTCAGGTCATTGAATCAACCCTAGAATTATTTATCAGACTGAACCTTAAGTAATAGCTTGTATTGTTAGAGTATAAAATGGTTCTGAAATTTTAATGAAACTATCCGCTCATTTGATGATATTGACAAGAGTAATCGATGACGTTTCAAATAAGGTGCCCTTGCCCCCTGATTATTTTCAAGATTCCCCGTTAGTTAGGGAAGCCACAGATTATGCTGTAGACGACCCCTCCCGATATAGAAGGCCCCGACACTCTGTCGAATGACGCCCTCATGTCCCCCGTTAACGGATGAATAACTTTCTCATCCATCCCACCCCAGCCAGGTAGGGGTATCCCGTGAAGGGCGGCACTGATGTCTAAGGACTTCATGCCGTCATCAATCAGTCATGAACCCATTGGTCTTTCTCCAATCAGTCTAAAGGGTAGGGGAGCTGGACTCCAAACCTGAAAGAATTGAAGATGACATTCTGATTTTCAAGATTCAAGGCCACACTATGGTTGTTGTTGCGTTTTACTTTACTCACTCTGTATACGGAATTATTTGAGAAATCTGTATAAAACACCCAGTTTGTACTGAAATATTATCTTGATTCTTAACGCACCCTCCTCACTCGACACCCTGTACACTGATATTTTTATAAAGAATTCGAAATAGCTCTAAGTCTAAGAATAGATATAGATATGATTCTGTTCAGAATATGTGTTGTGTCAGCATTTAACAATCCCGAATGGTATCTGAAATGGTAGGTGTGACGGTTGTAAACATGAATATCGGTAGAAGATAATGGGTGTCAAAGATATGAAACATCAATAGTGTAAAACAGTTCCCCGAACTTGCAGTAGATTAGCAGAGTCAACAAACAGATTTTCGACGTGTTTATAATTGGTTGTCTAGAACACAAATGGTTTTGTTGGGCCGTCGAGTCGAGTCAGGATCAGATCCGGACTGAATAATTCAACAGTTGTTCATTGAGGTTGACTTTCCAATTTTTGAAAGAAACAAAATTAAATCAACTCTAATAATAAAAAACCTGCATTTGAATAAAAATGCAATCCTTTTTTCAATGCGCTTTCTTAGAAGATGTACATCGGTCAGACTAAGCAACCCATTGAAAACTGTTTCAAAGAACATACAGCACATCCGAGTTCAAAGACCAGAAATATCTAGTGTCTAGCTCAACACACTTTGAACAACGGTCATAAAATAAATGAAAACTGTCTAAAACTGTTGGGATCGATATATGACACTAGAGTTTTGGATGTTTTAGAAAGTCTAGAAAAAACAAAGTATGGGATGAGAACGAACAGTGTCAAAAGTCCTATTTCACACAACCCATTATATTTTTTTTCATGAATCACTCTGTTAAATTTGAGGGAACTTTCACGAGAAAATTTTCCGTGTAATGTAATGTTCCTCGTGTTACTTCCTTATATTTACTCTCTTCTCTTTTCGATAACGATTCAAGAAATGTATATAGTTCCATTTTACCTAGAATCAATTTTGTTACAGTGGTCAACTTTTTCGCATTAAAATCAATTTCTGCTCTTTTTATTCTCAAAATTTTCTCCTTTCAAATCCTCAAAAGTAATGACCTCAATTATAAAAAGTTAAACAGATATAATCTAAACTCACATCGGAAGGATCTTCACAGAAATATAATCTTGATTATTTAGCTTTGGCAGGCTGGATGAAGTCACTTTTTCGATACGACAATAAATAAATTAGGTGTTTTAACTATAGACTCATATTTTATTAGAAAATATCATGAAAAATCTTCACATTGTCTTTTTAGTTTTCGTGTTTGGGACTATGTTACCTCACAGAAGTCATGTGACAAGTATTGACCGTTTGGAACCAAATTTGAAACGTTTTTAAAATACATAGAGTTATTATACTTTTAAACAGTTTGTGACATATTAGAAATGTAGGCAATATCTTCACCATTTTCTCTATTATTCAGAATCGTGCATAGGAAGTCGTGGTCTCTAAGGAATGGCCTGTTGGATCGCCTGATATGACTCATCTAGACTTTTTCGACATAAAAGACGAATATTGTTCCAAAACTATCCTTTCGAACATTCATTGAAATAAATTCGACAGGTTTCTAATTTTCATTCATTGAAATAATTTCGACAGGTTTCTAATTTTGTTCATTATGGGATTCTCACTGAACCAAACTATACCTGTTGATGACTTTGACGGTGAATCTGATGAACAAAAATGAAAGAGAATTGAAATTGAATTTTAAATTCTCTTCAATGTGAGAAAAAAATCAAAAAATATTCTATTTCACGAGCTACGTGGTGAAATATTGTTTTTTTCAATATTTTCGTCGTTGTTGACCTTGAAAATCTTTTGAATTATATATTTTCCAAATTCTTTGTTTTCAAGCATAACTATAGGCATCTTTCATTTGGGTTTCTTTATTTCTTCCTGGCCATACCTAATAATATTGTTTCAACATAACGTTTCGTTTCTTTGAGTCCATGATAAGTTTTTTGAATGCCAAGAAGATATAAACGAAGAATTTCTTTTTCGAGTGTTATAACGTCTAAGATTCTTGAGAAGTTTCATTATAATTCTTCTCTCAATTAGATTTTTTAAATTCTTGTCCCATTTAGATAGTTATCGTCATGTCATTTTTCAACTTTTTCGTGTCACATTCCTTTAAAGGTATTTTTCAAGTTTCAAATTATGTCATCAGAAGCATCAATTTTCAACAAATCTTAGCCAATCATAGACATCAATCCTTTATGTCTCTGAAGCTGTCACGCAGGCCAAAAAACACGGCATTCGTGAACGTGAAAGCTGCAGAGCAAGACAGAAAGCGATTTCTCATTCGATTTGGAATATAGAGTGTATATTATTGACAGAGTTTGAGTAATTTTAAAATGAGAATGCTGTTTCTCTGTACCCTCATTCGCCATACAAACGCCAAGTTTGGTTTACTGTCCATAAATGCTATCTTTGCAAGAAATATGTTCAAGCTTGAGTATTTTTAATTTGGCTCGTACGTTGAGAAGAGTTCAATTGAACATTGCAATTGTGATTAGGCATAACATCACTGATGATACCTTCAAGGGTCGAAACAGAGCTGATTGGCCATGGGACGTAATTCCCTGTTTTTTCTCCTTGGTTTCATCATGCTTCCACAACTGAATTGGTAAAATGTTCATATAGGGTCTTCCAACAGGGAGTTTCGAACTTTGACAATTGATAACGGCCATCTTGGTGAAGATATATCTGTCAAATTAGTATTCATTTACTTATTCAGTCTCACTGTATGATCCTTTTCAAGAGCAAGATTTCGTTAATAAATTCAGCATTGTTGAATTTGTCAGCGAAATATTATTAGTCCGGTCATTATACAATGTTGACCTAACGAATATTGCGACAGAGCTAAACTTCGGTGAAGACCTTTATTTTATCATAAAAAATGAAAATTTCAAAGTCCCAATCTGTCTCATGAGCGCTTCAAAAGTTATTTGGGGTCAAAGGTCAAAATTTCAGGTTTTTTGAGTTTTTCTCGAAAACCGTAAGTTTCATCAAAGAAATACTTGGAAATAATGTTGTAGGTACCAAAATTCTCTACAAAAATGGTCCAGATAATTTTTTCTGTATCACCGTTCCTGAGATATCGCAATTGTAAAAGTCACATTCAATGTAATATGCACACATTAGCGACGTATATGTATACACATTCAGGTACTCAAGTAAGTAAAAATGCCTGTTTGTGTCTCTTTTATGTATATACTATGTATATATTATATTCAGAAAATATACATTTGAAGAACCGTCATTTCCTTCGAAAATTCGATTTCTTGTTGCTATTCATGGAGCTCCAAAAAAAATAGATTGCATTGATAAGTACAGATATTTAACTTTTGTCAAGAATACCCGAAACAAGAAGCGAGTACAATCAGCTTGTCTTCCTCCGACATCAGCATCTGCTATTTAACACTTGTATCGGATATATTATCAAGTTCAGACATGGCAAGGAAATCAACTCAACCCTAAAGACTGGGGTTGGAAATTAATGAATAATACTCTGGAACCAATTAAAACTTTGCTGCTCCCTGAAAAAATCCTCAACAAAATGTTTTGCAATTGCAAGAGAGGTTGTAGTGCCAAATGCTGCTGTAGAAAAGTAGGGTTACAGTGTTCACCTGCGTATACCAATTGTCAAGGTCACTCTTGTTCAAATGTTGAGTTGAGTACAACAGAGGATGATTCATGTGATGCTGATTAATAGACAACTAATACATCATTATTTGAACAATTTATGAACATCCGGCAAGAAGAGGAAGAGGAAGAAGAAATCGCAGAAGACATGATTGTTGAAGTTAACTATGACGAGTATGAATCAGATTGAAGTGTCAAAAGAAATCAAACTGACAATTACACTCCATAAACATTATCAACCCGAATAATCTTCATGCAGTTAAATAAGTATTGTGACTAAAAATTACATAATAAGGATTCGTGAAATAGACCTACTGGGGAAAAAATGCATCAAGTACACTTCCTCACAGATGGTGTGGGAACGTGTGCATATTACATAGAACGTGACTTTTACAATTGCAATATCTCAGGAACGGTGATACTTACAGAAAAAAATCATGAGGACCATTTTTGTAGAAAATTTAAAGATCTACAACTTTGGTCTGAGGTATTTTTTTGATAAAACTCACGGTTTCCGAGAAAAACTCAAAAAACCTGAAATTTCGACCTTTGACCCCAAATAACTTTTGAAGCCCTCATGGGACACATTGGGACTTCAAAATTTTCATTTGTTATGGTAAAATAAAGGTCTTCACCGATATTTAGTTCTGTTGCAATTTTCGATATTTCATTACTGTTTTCAGGTCTAAATTGACCGAACTATATTCTCTGATTTCGTTGATTTCCAAGATCTGGCAAATATGTTCACTGATGGAGTTGAATCTCATGAATTTTAATCCGATTCAAATAAAGAAACAGGACTCAAACATCTTCAAATCTTTCCGAGCTTCTACTTTCTCAATGAAAGAACTATGAAAATATAGTATTAATTTCCAATTATGTGCTCAAAAAAAAACTCTACACGATGCTCGACGATTCTTGATGACCCAACCCCGTTCAATTACAAGTTTTGATTGTATTTTGATTATCCGTCAAAAGTGGAACACTCGAAAATCTGTTTAGCGACCGATTAACCTACTGCGCCTCACTGCAGCGTACACCCGTTCTCCACCCTCCTCCACCTGATGGGAGAGTTATTGGAGTTCCCCGAACCGTCCCCCAAACTGCACGTCTTAGTCCTCATGATCATCAGATCGGTTCGTATGCTGGGACGCCTCACGTTTGGAGTCACGACGCCGCAAGCGTCGCTCAGCCTCCTCTTCACCGAGAGGTGGTACTTCTTGGTGTGGTGGCCGGGCGTGGAGGGGGGTAGCGGGCAGGGGGAGCCAAAACTAGCGCTGACCCGCTTGTGGTGGTTTGGCGCCATCTCTTGGGGCAGGTTGGCTAGCAGGAAGAGCTGGTAGAAGACTTCGTCTACTTTGAAGTTTTTCTTGGCCGATGTCTCTACAAAGGCACAGCTAGAATCTTGGTTGTCGCAGTAGGCCTGGGCTTCTTCGACGTTGACGGTTCTACAAATAATAATAATAATACTTATAGCACTGATCAAGTTGAATGTAGTCAGAATTAATACACCTAAGGAAGAATGGGCCAATATGCATAATCTAAGTGATGAGAAATTGTTAGAATTTCACATAAAATATATACCAACCAAGGTTCTANCGATTGGCGGGAGTTGGCCGTTATCCGCTTGATTACGGGTTTCCATTTGTTGCATATTTCTACGCTAGCTTGGCTGAATGCGTCATTGGACAACATATATGCAGCTTCTTTGAACTTCCTCTTGAACCAGTGTTCCTACCTGTGGATAATTATAGCTTGGGACCAAACCATTCGAGGAATAGCTCTGCTATTCCCCATTTTCTGGTTTCTCCTCGATGTGTGTTTATCTAGTGCTTGGCAATGCGAACTTTCAATGGCTCCTTGGTTTCACCGATATTAGAATCAGACAATGGAAGTCCATGAAATCACTTTCAAACAAAGAAGTTCAAGTTGAAATCATTTACAAGGAAATTTTGATTAAAGATTTCCATATGTTGTGTATCTCTACGCTAGCTTGGCTGAATGCGTCATTGGACAACATATATGCAGCTTCTTTGAACTTCCTCTTGAACCAGTGTTCCTACCTGTGGATAATTATAGCTTGGGACCAAACCAATTAGGTAATAGCTCTGCTATTCGTGTGTCAAAGTGAAATAAGTTACAACAACGGATAACTGGGAGAAGTATAAACAAAAAAGAAATATAGCAGTGAAAACAATTAGACAGGAAAAGAAGAACTTTTCAGAGACAAAGATTGAATGAAATGAAAACAATTCTACTGAAATGTGGAAAACACTGAAGACATTAATACCGAATAATAACTATTGAATTGGGCAATGGTGAAATAATTTCTGATATTACTTTGATACCAAATGGCCGGAACACATTTTATATCAAAATTATAGTAAATATAACTGATGCAATCGACAACAAATTTTCTCATAGTTTTCCTATAACTGAAAGAATAACTGACAATTGTCCAACTTTAGTCTCATCAATATGGTAGATCTAGAATGAATTGTTGGTTCTTTGAAAAATAAAAGTAGTTCCGATGAAATTCGTGTAGAGCTTCTGAAGAAGTGTTTCATTGCCATTTGCAATCCATTGTTGAACATTATCAACAGTTCTTTAGAAAAAGGTGAAGTACCAACTGAACTAAAATTATCTACTATTATATCTATATCAAAAGGACCAAATACAAACCAAGCTATTCAATTGAGACCAATAAACATGATTAATGCTACAGCTGAAGTATTGAAAATGGCTGTATATGAACAGATAGTGGATTATTTGGAGAATAATAGGGTCCTTTGTATCAATCGGGTTTTCGAAGCAAACATAGTTATGAAACTGCGTTACAATGTGTTTTAACAGATTGGAAAAAAGGTGCGGAAATAGACCAGTACACTATTGCAGTATTTCTTGACCTTGAAAGGGCATTTGAAACTGTAGATTGACGCAGACCGATTAGATAGGTTGAAAACGTATTGGTAGGTATTGATGGAGTAGCACTAAACTGGATCATGAATTATCTGAGCAATAGACAGCAAAGGTTGAAACTAGAGGAAGTTTAATCGGATAAAATGTAAAATAATATAGGTGTACCACAAGGGTTTATTTTGGGACCTTTGTTATTCCTCATATATTTAAATGACATTATAACCATAGCAGAAGAATGTAGAATTCATTTATTTGCTGACGATACACTACCTTCTTTAGTAGTGAAGATGCACATGAGTGTGTTGATACTATAAACGCTAGTCTTGACAGGGTGTATAGATATTGCTCTGCAAATCTGCTGAAGGTGAATGTAAATAAAACAAAATGGATGTTATTAGGGAAGCATAGAGATCATAATGATGAAAATCTACTTCTATGATTGAATGACAGTAATATAGAGAAGGTAAACAAATTCGTGTACTTGGGTGTAACTATTGACAGCAATTTGGAGTTCAAGAAACATGCTAATCAAGTTATCAAAACAATAGCCCACAAAATCAATCAATTTAAGAAGATGTTCCCTATATATTACCCAGTGGTCTGAATTATTAGTCTACAAATCCACAATCAATCCACATTTGAATTATTGTTCCACCCTTCTGTTTTTTCTCAATCAAAATGGAATAAACAGACTACAAAAGATGCAGAATCGTGCTATGCATATAATCTTACAATGTTCGAGGATAGCACCCATAGCAATTATGTTGCAAACCCTTCAATGGCTATTAGTGGAGATACTCTTCAAGTACCAAGCACTAATTTTCATTTTTAAATTCACCTGTATATCTACAGAATAAATCAACTCATGTGGCTGAAATACACGGGCATAATACTATGCCAGTATCATGGGCACTCTGGGGACCGCTTTTTTCCTAGTAAGCCCCACTCCGCTGGACGAGGCCCCCGCGTTCACCTTTGTTTCAATTATTTGTTCCCGTAGTCTTATTGCTTCCTCGAAACTTTCCCGGCTATCCATACTGAATACGATCACGAATAAATCTCCTGGAACAAATTGCTTTTATTTTCCAGTTTCGCAAATCGCTACTGCGAAATTGGGGGGTGGAAGTACATCCAATTTGTTTGTTTTTGCTTTCGGTACAGGATAGTTAATGGGTTTTCTGATCATGAAACGCTTTTTCTGGAGGTAACCTAGGAATTAGGGTTCCACAGGGTGTTTCAGTGGAATGCGAACCCTGAGAGAAGCAACATGTTTGTACAATTTAGGAAACAATTTACATGGCTGAGTCGGGCTCTGTCAAACTTTGTCAAAAATTGATTTTTTTGTGGAATAGTAATATTCGTAAATTTCACTAATATAAAATTCATTCATACAATCACATGGAATTTACGTAGATATCGGAGTTATTTCAATGATTATACTATTATCATTTTCTCTATTTCCTATTGATCATATGCATAATAACTTCTGATTTTAAATTGGTTCTATTTTTTTATTCTCTATTCTCAATTCTTATATCTGGACCTTCAAATATAACAACTTAATAAAATTGAAAAATAAAGATTCAAAAGTTGAGAATAAGGAATTGGTAATGAGAATTGAGACTTGAACTTTGGGTCGGTCATTCAATTATTGAGAATTAATATTTTAAACTTAGCAAGATTTCAATCATAAGTTATCAATATATGAATTATGAGGTATTATCAATCCTCAAACCAAGTCTCATCTATTCCAGATTCATTTCTTGGTTCCTAATTTTCAATCCCTAATTCTTGATTAGTGATTCTTGATTTTTGATTCTGGATTCCTAATTTCAAGGTTCCTAATTCTCAATTTTATTTCTCAATCTCAATTCCTAATTCTCAATTTCTAGTTCTCAATTCTTGATTAATTCCTAATTATTAATCATTTCTTCTTATTTCTCATTAATTGATTCCGAATTCTCGATTCATAATTCTCAATTCCCAATCCTCAATTCTCAATTCCTCATTTTCGATTCTTGATTATTGATTACTGATTCTTGATCCTCAATTCTTAATTCTTGTTTCTCGATTATATTGTTTCTCGATTCTTGATTATTGATTCTTGATTATTGAATCTTGATTATTGATTATTAAGTATTGGTTCTTGACTCTTCATTCTTCATTCTTGGTTCCTAATTCCCAATTTCTAATTCCTAATTCTCAATTGCTGATTTGTAGTTTCTAATTCTGAATTCCTGATTCTCAATTCCTAATTCTCAAGTCCAAATTCTCAATTCCGAAGTCTTAATTCTTGATTTTTAATTTTCAATTCCTATTTCTCAATACTCATTTCCCAATTCTTAATTCATAATTCTTAATTCCTAGTTCTTGCTTCCTAATTTTCAATCGTTAATTCTTGATTATCTACTGATACTTAATTTTTGATTCTTGATTCCTAATTCCCAATTTCATTTCCTAATCTCAACTCCTAATTCCTAATTTCTAGTTCTCAATTCTTGATTAATCCCTAATTCTTAATTATTAATTGATTCAATCAATCAATCCTCAATTCCTTATTCCTCATTTTCGATTCTTGATTACTGATTCTTGATCTTCAATTATCAATTCTTGATTCTTGTTTCTTGATTCTTGGTTATTGAATCTTGATTATCAATTATTAAGTATTGGTTTTTGATTCTTCATTCTTGATTCCTAATTCCCAATTTCTAATTCCTAATTCTCAATTGCTGATTTATAATTTCTATTTCTGAATTCCTGATTCTCAATTCCTAATTCCTAATTCTTGAGTCCAAATTCTCAATTCCGGAGTCTTAATTCTTGATTTTCAATTCCTATTTCTCATTTCCCCATTTTTTCTGATATCAAAAAATTGGTGAATATTTCAGCATGTCAAAACAAAAACAATGTAATAATTGAAAGGGGTACATTAAGGGTGTATGTATATAATAGAACTTTTTCTCTTAAAATCAAAAACACTAACCGAACATCATGTATGCCTTTATTATTGTAATAATTCCCATTATATTTAGCAATACATTTCATGTAACCTATGAAATAATGCGAACCTCTGTCAAAAACATATATTCATTCCATTTTTAATCAAAAGACTTTTCACTATGAATTAATATGAAAATACGGGAACACATAAACCCATTTAGCCCAAACACAAGCACACATCCACAGCGAAAGGATTAATTTTAATCATAATTGAAGACCACGTTTACCTATTGTTGGATATTCGAGCTATTTTCGTTATGCAAGTCCAAACAATGATTCAATGGATTATGAGATAATAATTATATAATCTTTCTGTTTCTGCCAGTTAGCTTCATACTGATCATAACTGCAAGGAAAATGGTGAATCAATTGTTTTATTGGTCGTCAAAAGGGATTTGATGGGCTTCGGCCACTTAGTACTCAATAAAAATTGGAATTAGAGTTTTATTGCATATATTTTCGCAGAATTAGGAACAATAAACGCGATTCATGGTCTTAGTCACTTATTGACTTATATTATATTTGAGTAATGACTGTTTCAACTAGTTTTAGATCTCCAGTCTGTCTACTGTTTCGATTCAGTCATATAAAATATATAATGCAGACGTAAATAATCCCATCTCTCTTAACTTTTGAACGGAAGAAGATATTATGTTCAGTACATTTTATGAAATCGGAATTCGGATCAGCCGGTCCTGACTAATCAGCAGTTTGATATTTTTCTTAAGTTCGTTATTCTTGATTCCTAATTTCAAATTCCTAATTCCCAATTCCCAATTCTCGATTGTTATTTCCGAATTCTCAACTCCCAATTCCTAATTTCTAACTACTTATTTCTAATTTTCAATTCCTGATTCTAATTCCTGATTCTTGATTATTATTTCTTTTCTTGATTCTTAATTCCTAATTCCTTATTTCTAATTCTTAAGTCTCAATTCTTGATTCATTTATCATTTTTAATCCTTAATTCCTAACTCTTAATTCTTAATTCTCGATTCTCGATTCTCGATAATTCTTAATTCTCAATTTTCAATTCTCAATTCTTTATTCTTAATTCCTAATTCTCAATTCCTAATTCTTAATTCCTAATTCCCAATTCCTATTTCTCAATTCTTAATTCTTAAGATATATGATGGAATCGGCCGGTACTTGATGAAAATCCATAACTAACGTATTCTGAAAACACTTTATTGTGTGATTTTCACTAGATAGTTTTACGAAAACGCAACACGTGTTTCGCCATACAATGGCTTTCTCGGGCATGTCTTAATTAAGACGTGCCCGACTGTCTTAATTGAGACATGCCCGACTGAATTGATTCTTAATTCTTAATTCCTCATTCTTAATTCTCGATTCTCGATTCTCGATTCTCGATTCCCGATTCCCAATTCCCAATTCCCAATTCTCCATTCTCAATTCTTTACTTCTTAATTCCTAATTCTGAATTATTGATTTTAATATGTCAGTTGTATATACAATGCCACAAGCGTTATGAATTTCTCACAATGAAGCCCCATGCAATCATACTGCGGAATATTGCGAATCAATCCACTGCAGATGTAACAGTAATCGTACGAGAGAAGCGCCATATTGCGAGGTCTAATCTTTGAGTAGATCTCATGTTTTGGCTTTCGAGCTTCTGTTGGAGGGTTAAATCCACTACTGATGAAACAGTTTATCAGCTTCATGATTATTATATGGATGTGAATAGTTTAAATTACCATGTTTGGGGAATGCATCCATAAAACATATTTTCTACTGTGTTTTGTATCAAAATACTGTTTTTCTGACACAAAATCAACGGCTAAGCATGAACATGATCTGACAACGCTGGCCGTCTTACTATGGCCCGACTTCGTGCTTTACAAATAAACAATTCAAAAGAGTTGATTCAATACAGCTAATAACTCAACAATACATTCATCAATTTTAAGGCAGTGGAAAGTTCATTAATTAATCAAAAATTCACAATAGAGTTTGAAAAAAACTGATATTTTTCTACTAACCCGTTAAGAAAGACAACCGTCTCATCGCGGGAAAAGGATGATTTCCCGACGTATCCAAAATGTCCAGTTGATAAATATCTCCTCTTATCCTATACAACTTCCTGTGGAAGTCTTCTATAGTGGGTGTGTAGCACTCCTGAAATTTTCCTCCCAGAAAACGAGCGACCAGACAGGTTTTCCCAACCCTTGCTGACCCTGCAAAACGAGTCAGAAGATGTGATAAACTTATAAAGCATTTATTAATCAAAAGTAAGCAATTTAAAATTCGTGAATTACGGGATTGTACGATAATTGAAAAACTCACTTTCGACATAAAAAGTTGTAATTATTTTACAACATTTCGGCTTTTGAACGACGCATCAAAAATTTGTTTTGAATAATCAGGGACGTAGCAAGAGTATATGACGCCCTTGGCGAATAAGGGGGTCCGTGAATTTTTTGTAATTTTAGCTACAAAATGCTGAGATTTGCTTGCTTTTCGCAAGTTTTAGTCAAATATTTCTTGCAAATTGTAGGTGGCATAGCTGCCGATTAAAATATCAATAGCAGTGTTTATTAGTAATGTATTGAGACTCACGCACAAAATATAACTAAAAACTTATTTTTCTAGTTTTGATTGATGCAAATTCTTAAATTACATCATCAAAATTTTGCGCCCCTATGTATTCTGCGCCCTTGGCGGGGTTCCTTACCGCCAATGCCTAGCTACGTCCCTGTGAATAATCTCAAACTACAACATCAGTTCAACTAGGTTTATACTTATTTTTCTGGAATTTTTGACAGGGGAATTTAAAGCCTAACAAACTTAGAAATAAAATGGTAAGGTAATAAATATATGGTATGTAATAAAATACATACATACATACATACATACATACATACATAGTTACATACAGGTAAAGCTAATATAAAGCGTGTAAAAAAAAGCTTCAAAAACGCTATAGCCTTTTCAATAGATTTTTAAAGACCTGATATGATACATTAAACAGATCTAAGTTATTATGATATTGATTTTCCAGCTTCAAAATACGAAGCATCGGAGTGTTCAAAGCATAATTGGTATGAAAGAAATTCATATGAAAAATATCAGGATTTCTCGTATCTTTTTGTTTGATATGAAAAGTTATTAGTTGAAGTTGTTCTGGGCAGTTTATCCCACTATTTATTAATTTGAAGAGGAAACTCAAGTTCATAGAAATTCTTCTATCTTCCAATGATATTATATTCAACTTGGTTGAGAGTTGACTGTACTCATATTCATTTCACTGAATACCAAAGTGAAAAGCACAATTTCTTAAGAATTTCTTTTGAATATTCTCAATCAAATCGATATTTATATTATAGTATGGGTCCCATATAACCGAACAATATTCAACAATGGATCTCACAAAAGCACAATATAAAATCTTTTTTGTTTCAATTGAAAAATCAGTAGAAATTCTCAACACAAAACCCAGCATTTTGAGACTTTTTGCCACAATTTCTGATACTTGAAGGTTAAAATTGATTTCGCTATCAAATTCAACTCCCAGATCGAGAATAAATGTTTCTCTTTCAAGAACTATATTACTCAATGTATATTCAAACGATATTGTACTACTTCTAATTTAAGCGAAAGTAATGATTTGACATTTATCAATGTTTACCTCTAACAAATTATTTCTACACCACATGGAAAAGATCTTTTTGTACTAATTCAGCATCTTCTCGGCAAGTAATTGCTCGATAGAGTTTGAGATCATCAGCAAACATAAGAAATTCTGAATATTTGAAAACAAACTATGTCCGATATAAACAAGTTGAACAGTAGTGGGCCCATATGGGATCCCTGCGGTACCTTCTGATGAAACCTGAATGGGCGTAGATGTTGTATCTCCGTATTTTACAGACAGAGTTCTACCAGTTTAGAAGCTATTGATTACTTGTAAAACATTCCCGCCTATACCAAGCGCTTGAGTTTTAGATTTTGTTGAGTTTTGATTAACAGCTTAAGCTACTAGAAGGAAGAGCTCTCTCATATAAACATTGAACTGCACGAAATAAAAAATAGAAAGGTTAATGGATCTTAAATTGAAATCAATATGGGAATGATCAAAAAGTACTTATCTATTTATTTTTTGATTTTCATGGACTTATTTTCCAGCAGCTTGACTGCATTAACCTTTCTAGATTTCATATCATTTCTAGAAACATGTGAATTCGTTTTCCAATGGCATTTCAGTCACGCCCTTTTGAAGTCTTTAAATCATTGTTTTCATATATAGCGATTATCGATTTCCCATCAATGTATAATTAATGCGGGAGAAATGAAAAACAGCGAAAAATCAGTTGCATTCGAACTAATTCCGGTGGAAACCTTTGAGTGATGGACTATATACCAGCTATTCAGTGAACTTTCTGCCGTGCTTATCTGAAATTTTCTCTCCTCCGCAAATTCGTGAAAACTGTGTACGTGAGAGCTCTGTTGTTTTTCATTAGCAGATCGTCTGTTTGAGATATGAAAAGAGCTGAAAACGCTGAACTCTCAAGAGGGTGTGACAACTACGTGGTCGATTTGGGCCGCATGACAACAACGACACCGGGAGTTTTTGAATATTCAAAGTTCTTCGTTCACAAAATGATTTTTTATTTACGTGATATTCTCAGATCGAACTGAATCATAAAACTCAATGAATTTCCCATTTGCTACTTTCATTTCCAAATTTTTTAATCAGGGTGGCAATCAGAAATGGCTGAATCAAGTGTGGCTGAGTACACTTAAAACATTTTTGAAAGAATGGATCATGGTGAATGAGTGGTGTCAGTATTGTTCGACTTAACAAGGGTATTTGATACAGTGGAAAAGTCTTTCGTCTCAGAAAAACTAGATAAGTTGGGTATTCGTGGCTGCCTTAATGATTGGTTTCTCTCTTTCCTCGAAAACCGTAGGATTATAGTGAAAATTGATGATGATCTTTCAAATATATTTGATATGGATCTTGAAACCCCTCAAATGCAGTGTTCTTGATCCATTCATTTTTCTCATATTCTTTGACGATCTTCCTAAATATCTATCTGAGGCAAAAGTTCTCATGTATGCAGACGACACGTGTACAATGATATCAGATCAATTAAAACTCGCACTATCAGAAAAACTTACCAGAAAACTAAACCGATTCAAAGATTGGTGCTATTGTAATAGATTAATGTTGAATGTTGCATTGAATACCATACAGCTCAAAGATTACTCAATATTATTAAGTAACACTTTAATCATCAGTACATCGAAGTCTGAAAAAAATTTCTCGGAACCATATTCGACTGTAATCCATCTTGGGAGGTATAAATTAACAGTGTCTGTAAAGAATTAACCAGTGTTTCTATCTATATCTATACACAAAAATGATTCGACAAGCTATAGCATCAAAGTTTGACCAGCAAAGCCTCATGCGACACACGGTCTAACGACTTAGAAATATCAAGCCTAACAGTTCTTGATTCCCTATGTTCCTCGATTTCAAATATGGATAACATACGATAGACATACCGGCCAGAAGGATCTAGACTCGTGAATGTATCCCTACTTATCTGATTGTGAAGTTCTTTGCTTTCATTTATTCTGAATTTACAATTGTATCGAGCATTAACAAACCTAGTTCGGTTTTCGGCACTGGAATTTTTGTGCCACTACCGTTAGGCGAGATTTTTGAAGGCGTTAGCTTGTTCACAATTTTTGTTGAAACAAGATTTACCGTTAGAAGTTCGTTTCATTGAAAAAAGAATATATGCATCCATGGATGATAGAATAACTTCCGTGACTTCGGAAGCACAGGTCGATAGATCATTAGAGCTGAATGAATTTCGGAAAAGATCTTGTAGATCCTCTCACTCAGCAGATCTGTAATGCCAAACTTTGTGCGGCTGAGATTGTTTTCCAATATGGGAATTTTCCGAAGAAAGTTGTTAGCTACAGGATTACGTTGATAATTCCGAAGTAGGTTCTCAGTTCCCAACTCTAATATACATAATTCATAAGTTATCATAAGTTTTAGTTCCTAATATCGGGTTCAAAAATGTCTTAGATTTTATATCAAGATCTCAACTGTAGGTCCTAATTATATAATTTGTCATTCTTTTTCTGGTCTTAGTTTCAAATTTTCACGTTTCAGTTTTCAGTTCACGGTCCATAATTTTTCAGTTCTTGATTTGTAGCTTACAACTTCAACTCTACAAGTTATAGTCTTCAGTGTTTCAATTGTCAGATTATCCGTTCTCAGACTTTAGATTTGTGTTTTACTTTTTAAACTGAATTAGGTTTTCGGTTCTAAATTATCGACTATTAATTTTTGTAGTTTCGCTTTCAATTCTCAGCTTTGAGAAATTTAAATTCCAAGCTAATAGTTTTCAACTTTCTCAATTGTTGTTATTAAGATCTTGTTCTTGAATCTCAATATTCAGTACTTTATAATTTGTTAGTTCACCAGGTATTAGATTCAGATTTAGAAACAGAGAGGAGCAATACTACAAAGTGTGTAAAAGCCAAATAGAATAAATCCATAACTTTAAATTAGAATTTGACATACTTCAATGGAAAAATTCTACCCTTACCTTCAACCCCTGTCGAATGGCAGGTAAAACCCCCAATTTTTTAAATAGGAAGTATAGGCTTGTGATATATCGTTTGAAAGGTCTCTTCATTCTCTATTCGAAAATGTTATTGCTTCCAAGTTCATTGCAACAATCAAGATAAAATAAATTAAAATCATGTGGTTACCAAAATTCGGTAAAATATACTCAAAACTAATGGCAATATACTCCAAACTTATTTCATGTTGAGGTATTGATAATTAGAAAGTGAGCAAAAAACAAAGCAATGTTCTTTTTAGATGGTATCCTTTAAAAAACTATAAATAATTTCCGTGGCAACGTTAGTTTGAAACGTCTTCTCAACTTGTTTTATATGTTACATTAGTTGTCAGTATTTTAATTCAAGTTTAAAGTTCGTTAACTTCAAGTCTGACAAATGGTTAGATTAACGGAAATGCATAAAATAACAGTTTTACAAATGATTGGTTACGGAGATAAAACTTATTTGAGTATTGTAACTTAACCAGGATGGAGTCTAAATCAAACCTAAATCGTAAAGTGCTGACAAGCCAAACGAGGGAAGTTACAGCCGATGTAATTACTTTTATGCAACGAGAAGCGGCAGAAAATAAACCTATAAAGGACTTTTAAAAAGTTCAAGAAAGAGCTACTATGACAACTGGCATAAGTTTAGGCAGTATATAAAACATTTCATCATCTAGGCTCTACTCAGATGAGTAAAGCCTAGATGCTGATAGCACAACCAGCTGTTGAAAGCGCTAGTAGACAATTAAATAGAAGTCATAAAGCTTCAAATCCTTTTTGTGACTTACATTAACATTAAAATACTGAAAATAAAGGAAAATTTGTTGCATCATTCAAAATGTTATTTATATATATAGAGGAAGATAGGTTAGGTGCACAAAATGTCATATGTCACAGAATGTCTCAGAACTCGGAACATAAGTGAACAGATCAGCACGCCTCTGAAATATGTCATCTTTGTTTGTCTCATACACGTAACAGATTCATTGTCCTTTATTAGCTATAACCGATGTTGACAAATGGTGAAATAGAAACGAATCCCTTGAAATGTTGAATGCATTATTTCATTGCTCTTTTTTAAGTATTTGAATATTTTTTCAAAGAAAGAGGTTGAAATGATAAGTTTAAAATGCGTTGTTTTAGAGCTCTTTTATGAAAACTACTTGATTTTCGTCAGGAGGAACATTCCCCACTGAAAGCAAGTTTCATTTATTTATTCCAAATATTTCTCCGATTAATGGCATAACCATTATTCATAATTTTCTATCTCAAAAGAATACTAATCCCATAATTAAACAAGTTATCATTATAGCCCTCATTTCCTGTCTCGACCAAAATTATTTTCTGTTTAAAAAAATCTGTTTTTCCGTTAATTAGCTGTCGCCCCCATGCGAACGACAACTCTCAGAAGTTGAGAAACTTTTGCGTGCTAAGGACTAACGAGGTCTTACCTTTTAATGTGGGATTCCTAACATTTCTGAATTCAATAATGAGATGGACTAAAAGTGGGGACTTTGTACGTTGGTTTCTCAAATCAAAAATCAAATCAAAACAGTTTATTCAGAAGATTGTACATCTACACAAAGCAGACACAACTTTAATCGCAAATATATGCATCTTTTTTCCTCTGAATGCTTTCTAGCTCTAGCACCCTTTTTCCTATTCTTGACAAACTGTATATTGAATTTTTCCAACATAGATTGCATTTTCAGATTTTGCTGTAATTTGTCAATAAACTAGGGCAATTTCCCTATTCAGCCTAATGTTCATTGTAGAATGGCATGTTTGTGAAAAGAATGAAAATAAACTATACAAATGCATGATCCTAGATTATCATATAAATCACTCTTGTTGCTGTAGTCGATTCGATTCATAAAGTAATTGATGATTGATAAGGATTTACTGTTGATTATTTTTATATCGGATTCAACTTGAATGAAAGTTTAATTTTTTCAACATAATTATACAACTTTTGTGATTTACAAATTGAGATTGGATCACATGTAATAAAACCTGAAACGAAATACGATATGAAAAAATACTTGAATATAATCTCCAACACAAGACTTGAGGAGAAAATTTATGGCTCAGGTATAAAGCTGAGATTTATAATTTTATTTGAAATGTTGACTCTGATTTCAACTTATTATTTTCATTGTTCCAATTACTTGGAACGTGAGAAGAATGATTTGAGGTGAAAGATGTAAGTTAGACCTAAGTTAATATTCAAAATGTAATAAGATAAATACGTAAGACGTAAAGCGTTAGACGAGAGAGTTAAGACATAGGACTCAAAACTTAAGATATGAGACGTGAGACGTATAATGTTAGTTGTAGAGGTGAGACTTGAGACGTAAGACTCGAGACTAAGACGTGAAAATTAAGATGTAAGACTCAAAGCTTAAGACCTGAAATTTAAGATTCAAGAGTGAATGTAATATTCAAATTTCAACACAGATATAAAATTTGAGGCACAAGACGCAAACGTAAGTTTTGAGATGTAGGCTTAGATGTGAACTTGAGACGTGTGTTGGTATACCTGTATGGTTGGTACGCCTGGATGGTTTACCTGTATGGGTTACCTTTCTAGCATAAATAGGATAGCTCGCACTAGTTCTTAGTTTTAATCTTCCTCTTTGAAGATGATCACTTGGTGATCGAAACACGTGTCGAGCTGTTAAAAATAACGATTTGGTGTTGGGAAAAAACTCCAGTAATATTAATCACTACACCAAAGGTTCCAAACAGTGCATCATAACCAGTAATTGTCTTTCAAAATGTAAGTCTTCTTTGTTGAACACTGTATACCATCCTCATCATAAATCACAACACCCCCGGTTTGCCGATTTGTAGAATCACATCGAATGTGACTATAACCATCCAGTTTGATCTCTGAATCTTCAATTTCACTAGTCTCACTAACTAGAATTATTTTTGGAGAGTAATATAAAATGCTTATTTGAATTTGGTCAATTTTATGCAGCAAACTCTTCAAGTTTGGCTTCAATACGTTCAAAATATTCTTGTTGAGCTTCGGTTTGGTCTCCGGATATTTTTATTCCTGAACCGTCGAAACATCGACAAGAAACAATTGTTTTTCAAGAATAAAATGAACAAATTCATGTTAGTATATCTGTAAAATAGGTCAGTAGGCCAAATCTAGCAATTTATTTAATGAATCTATTTTGGTTTTCAATCTACCACCTGTTACAATCAAAATATCTGTGACCAACGTGAAGAAATTGCTGATAGACTATAGTAAAAACTATGAATTACCTGAAAATGATTTCTAATTGCCTACGGAACTATTCTACCGTACATAAATACAAAGTAATAATGATAATGAACGAAGTTTGCTCATATTTTGGAAATCCACACAACTCCCTGACGAAAAATGCGGTACCGCCAGTTCCCTCCCACTAGCGACCCCAATCATGCCTGTACACACCAAAACGTCCACAAACCCATCCCTCGACCAACACCACATCCCACCCCAACACTTCATCCCTTATCACGACACAAAGACATAAAATCTCATACCTATTTCCTCCCGCAACAGTGTCCTTTGTCTCTACATGGTATTCTTCTCTTGAAGGCCGAAGCGCATCTGTTGTGTCCTTTCGGGCATATTTCACGGCGGAACGACGCATGGCGTCGCGTGGCGTCGGCGTCGGACTCCTTCTCTCATGCTTCACGCGATCTCGAGTGCGATTGTCAGAGTGGAAACCGTGTGATGTGGAAGTGGACGCCAAACAAAGACGCAGATCGATAGCGATATCGGGACGATCAAATTTTAATTTGAATTATTGGATGCATCACTTTGGATTGGAATGGAAAAAGTACTGAGGGCCGTGGGTTTATTGGCAAGGCACAATCGGCTATTGAAAATTAATGGCGGGCGTCAAGAGCTGACAGCAATACCTGGTTGTCCAGTCATTTTAGGTCGATTTAGGCCTGTATTTCGGAAAGTTGACATACCCAGCTGTAAAGTTGTATAAACTTTGTATTTTGGCATCATAGAAGTATTCTCAAAATTCACATATGATTCGACGGTCGCAACTTCAAAAATTGTATAAAACCCATTGGAAACGAAATATTGGCAAAAAACGTGCAAAAAGTCGGTTTTTTTTTACTTTTGACCCCCAATTAATGAAGTTACGACCGTCGAATCATATGTGAACTTTAAGAATACTTATATGATGTCAAAATACAAGGTTTATACAAATTTACAGCTGTGTATGTCCACTTTCCTAGGCAAACCCCCTAAAATGACTGGACTATGGTAGAATTGAAGGTTCAGAGGTAACGTACATAGTGACCCCAGCAAGGTTCACATATGACTACAACTTCAAACCTAATTTTTTCAAATGCATGGGAGTATGTTGTTATTTACGATACATATTTTGAAAGAGTAATCAAACTTGCGTGGAAATGGCACTTTGTTACTTTAATTGGAGGTACACGTCGCTGACCAATGGAATTTCAAACATTTCAAACAAGTGTGAGTAGAAAATAAAAAATGTCGGGTAACAGAAAAAGTAGAACATACTTACAAAAACAAGGAAGTCCTTTTAGCTGCTTTCTTGGACATTGAGGGTGCATTTGATAACACGTCGTTAGAATCAATCATCCAGACGTAGAGGAGAAGAGGGATCGACGAGACAAGCTGTAGGTGGATAAACTGCATGCTTAGGGGAAGATTGGTATATACAACCATTATGGGGGACCCGGTCGTGGCACGGGTAGCAAGGGGTTGTCCTCTCCTGAAAGATGTATCACTGCATAACCCATTTAAAAAAAAATTGGTGAAAGTTTCTCCCTCTAAGGGGTTGAAGTAACATTGATAAAATTCATGTATGAAAATGTTTTCTTCGAAAACAAAAGTTTATGTGTTTGAATATTATTTATTTTATCCGTGAACTTGCAGGGCTGTTTTCGATGGGCCACCCTGTATGTGTTGAAGTGTCGATTGATTCACAAGGTGCATTATTTCATAACTTGAGATTTCTTCTCAAGTGCTCAATATACATTATTGGAAATGAAAACGATTCCTTCGATTTTCCAATTTGAAATGAAGCGAATTGGTACTTTTAAAAACAAATCGCGCTACACGATCTCTTTTCAAGAAAACGCCATCTATGAGATTAACAGAGAACTCAGTCTGTCGGTTTCAAAAATAGCTGGTTTCATCGTTCATAAATCGTTAACTTTTAGTATATGGATAGTCTATATACAAAGCATCTAGTTCGATAAAGAAAAAAATACTTCATTCTGTTATTTCCAATAGATTCTATTATTAGTTTCCAATAGATGAACTGAACAACAGAGAAAATAATTTTGATATGATTTAGCTGTGAGAGCTTTAAATAATTTTACAATAAACTTTATCAACAGTAGAAGTCTATGTGTTGCTGAACTGAGCATTACACAGGTGAAACAAATCTATAGACAATGGTAATAGGAAATCATATTTCACTGACATCTGTAAAAAGTTTCACAATCACTGACAGATTGCCATCCAATTATTTTTTTCAGCATTTTCTGTTTTTTTTAGTTTGATCTCCATTCCATAGATGGCCATACATAATCGGTTGGGATTTATAACTTTTTTTGAGCAATGGTTCCCAGCCAAAAATAAATATAAACTATGTTGCCACTTCATCATTTTCATCACATAAACACAGTTTTCCTGTTAAAGTTACTAATAGTAGAAGCACTTTTGGTAGAGTAGTACATCAATAGTGTATTCTGATATTTTTGTTCAACACATAACAATGTTATGTGTTGAACAGAAATTCTAAAGTGTATATCCTATCTTTCCTATCTACGCATACATAAGTTGTCTGAAAAACAATGTCAACACATAACTATTAAAATGTACTTTTCTCGGTAACTCGTCAGGAATTGAAAACAATTTTATTTACAATTCCCAAGAAGAGACATCGTAAACAATAAACAACATTGTCGTTCCGTAAACAAATTTACACACAACAATAATAAGATGATCGGGGTCGTGACAACACTGCGTCGTCCTGATCTTTCTGTCATGGATCCCATGAATGTCATAGTTCGTTTGTTGTGAAAATTAGAAATCAGATCCGTTATCTGCAGATTATTAGATCAGTGTTTTGAAATACATCAGTCCGCCAGCTGATCGTCTCAATCGTAGAAGAAATGGTAACTGAAAGGCCGATTAGTTGCATTATCGAACAGTAACAATAAATTCGGACGTCTGCAACTGAAAGTTTTTGTCACTAATTTCAATTCAAAGTAATTAAAAGGAAGTTTATTGTCGGACAATTTCTACTATTGTCTCAGCAATGACGTAAATAGTGACGTACTTCTAAATTGATTCTGCAGTTAACGGGTAGGTATTTACAATGTTTACGCAAATACGCGAGTAAATGTAGATTGGTTCGCCACAAACGAGATTATTCCGGGAAGTTTTGAATTGTGGTTGGAAATTTTGGATCGCGTTCGGACTTTTCATCCGCGGCGTACTGCGAGGAATTCCTGACAAAAAATAACTTTCCTTTTTCAGTTGACTGGAAACAACCACCATGACCCCTCCAACTGAAGAATCTCGGAAAAGAACACCAACTGATTATATATTTGGGAAGGTTCTGGGCGAAGGAAGCTTCAGCACAGTTTATCTAGCAAAAGATGTTCACACTGGCAAGGAATTTGCAAGTAAGTTCATTAATTTTTTTTCAATACATTTTGATAAATTGAAATCTCCAGAAGTTATTGGCAATTCTTTTTGTGAACGTTGAAGGTCATCCAGTCATTAGTTACAATTGCATAAACCGTTGCAATGAGTATTTGACTTGCAAATCTTGTTACTGACCTACATCTCTGTCAACCTGAATGTGGTGGTAGTTTCAACTCATTACTTTTATATTTACTACCCATTGTGAGTCCAAAATATTTCTTCTTTAGTGTTAGTCATAATCATAATAATAATAATTATTCACTCAGAGCAGCATCATCATTAATAACGACTGGAGTATCAATATTCAAAAATATGCATACAGAAACTCAAGGAATGGAGATATACACAGCCTCTCATCATCGAAAAATATTGATCCCTTCGACAAATTACCTTTGAAGGTTGCATGTTTGAAAGGCGATTCGTTCAAGAAAACTGTGATAAATCAATGTTTTCTCTGTTGAAGGTTTTCTGATTACTTGCTAGATGGAAGGACACTCACTTCAATTCGTCTCAACTCCTATGAATATGCTTTAATTTTATGCTAGTGTAATTTTACTGTTTTTCACTCGCGTTCAACCTTCTACAGTCTGAAAAATTTAGCTAAATCATTAAGGGATCTGCTAAAGTGTTCCGATACTAATGCATCGACTGCCGACAAGATTTGTCCTCTATACTTGAATATCCAGAATATTTTTCTTTTTTTTTAGTCAAAGTCCTTGAAAAATCGCACATCATCAGAGAGAAGAAGACCGAATATGTGATGCGAGAGAAAGAAGTCCTTCGGATCCTAGGAAATTCTTGCCCATACTTTGTCAGACTGTTCTGGACATTCCAGGATAGAGACAGGCTCTATTTCGTGCTGAGCTACGCGAAAAACGGCGACATCCTCACACAGATCGACAACCGCAAAACGTTCACCATCCACTGTGCCCGCTATTATGCTGCTGAGCTACTACTGGGTATTGAGTTTCTACACGATAAGGTGAGTTAGTAGTAGAAACAGAAACATTCAGAATTTGACTTGAAAAACTCTCCTGAATACTAAATCTTTATTGAAAAATTGTGGAGAAAGTAGCGGTGTAGAGTAATTTTTCAATTCTTCTTTGGAAACATTTAAAAAAACTGTGAAGAGATTGTGATTGATTGGCTTATTTTTGCATTTTTTTATATCTTTTCCTTACATCTAGCTGATAATTAATAACATGTGATCAATGGAAGTATAACGACTGCATCTTAATATAATTCTCATGCTTCTATTTTGGAGTTTTTGGAATTGGGTAAGCCTATTTTGGTTTATTAAATGCATTAAAGTTGGACAGTACTCAAAATGAGGTTTAATTATACAATTATATGTTAATATTCTGGAGTTGATAGTCAAATTATTACAATAAAGTACAGTATAGTATCTCATTATAATGTTTTATTTGGGGCTTACTTTCTTACTTACATTCTGATGAAGTATTTGTTATTCAGAAAAAGGTAATCAGAATTCTGGCTGGTGCTTCTTCAAGAAAACACTGTACTCAAAAATTACATTATATAAATGTATAATCCAACCCCATTTTGATTATTGTGCTAGTCTTTTATACTCATTTGACCAAAATGAGGTATCAGCTTCACAAAAGTTACAGAATCGTAGAATGAGGATTATTTTACAAGTGAATAGGTATAGGTTAAGTATGTTGCAGTGGCTGTCTGTTTCCCAGAGACTGTACCAGTTAGCAATGATATTCATTCTCGAACTAACACATAACTTGCTTCCAACTTATTTTGAAGAACTCTGTATATATATAAATCTCAAATCGATAATCACTTAACAAGAGCGAGTAGCTCCCAAAAATTCCACCTTCCTCCAACTAATTTGACTAGTACGATGAAGTCTTTATCTTATAAAGGTTTGAACAAACTCCCACTTTCGTTGAAAGATTCAATAAGTGTTTTCCAATGTTAAGAATCACACGTTAGAAGGTAAGACCTCGTTAATCCTTAGCTCGCACAAGTTTCGACTTCTGAGGGTTGTCGTTCGTAGGGGTACGACAGCTGGTTAACGGGAAACAGATTTTAAACAGATTGAAAAAAATCTTGATCTATATAAAATATCATCCTTGATTTTCTTTTNTCAGCGTTAGTACTGGAAATTGCCGCTATTTAAGATAATTATTTGAAAATAAATGATGCAGTACAATAAAACAAGTTTTTGTTTTTAGTGGTTAAGGAAAACTTTTGTTAGGTCCAATTTATAATAACAAAAAATAATCCGAGTAAAATACATATATTGCAAAAAAATATTTACAAGAAACATTTCATTGTGTCAGTACTAGTGTTGGAGACAATGATTTGTTTAATAAAATAACTAAAAAGCATTACTAACTCACTTCTTAGAATACTGCCAGGTGATCCTGGAAACGTCCATAAATTGATGCTTTTTCTTAAAGAAAAAAAGAAAAAGATACGATCAGATTTTTAATACATAAAAGAGATGCACATAACAATTAAACCTTATGAAAACGAAAAATATATTTAAGTTAACTGACCATTCAATTTTATTAAATTGAACGTAACATAACATAAGCTTAGTGAGGACATTAAATCCTCAAATATCAATGTCTTTAAAAAGCGACCCAAGAATTTTCTATTGGAAAAAACATACTACTCTGTGGATGAGTTTCTCCTTGAATCCTAATTTGATTGTAGCTTTTCAACTTTTTTTAATGTATGTTTTATGTTTGACCTGTTGAATCAGCCAGTATTTTATGATGATGTTATGGTTTTTTTTGTCTAATGTGATTGTGAAAGAAACCTGATTCGATAAATGAGCGATTGGATTGTCATTTTACTATTATTCTTCAATTAATTTTAATTTCTTGTTATTAGGGCATAATCCACCGCGATCTCAAACCAGAAAACCTCCTCTTCGACGAAAACTGGCACCTCCTGATAACCGACCTCGGCAGCGCCAAGATCCTGTCTTCGGAAAAGCCTGAAGCTGACAAGAGCAAGACGAGACGCAACAGCTTCGTCGGAACCGCCCAGTTCGTCAGCCCCGAGATGCTGACAGACTCCCAGTCCTCCTTCGAGTCAGACTTGTGGGCATTCGGCTGCATCCTGTTCCAGATGGTGTGTGGCGAGATGCCCTTCCGCGGGGGCAGCGAGTACCTCGTCTTCCAGAAGATCCTCAAGCTGGAGTACGCCTTTCCCGAGGGCTTCGACGAATGCGCCAAAGATCTCGTAGAATCGCTTCTTGTTATAGAGCCCGGTAAGCGACTGGGAGCTGCAGACGAGAGGCGGTACTCCAGCATCAGGCAGCACGAGTTCTTCAGCGGGCGGAACTTCGATGATTTGGGCCCGCCCCCAAAACTGGGTGATGAGTGTGACGGGTTGCCGGAGAGCGAGATTCCGGATTACTTGGAGCCGGGCCTGGACGAAGAGAAGGCCTCCAGGTTGCAGTTTGATTTGCTGTGTCCTGGTGAGATGTCTGTGAGGTGAGATATCTTCTATTTTCTACTTAGAAAACGCCACATTACTTCAAGATAATATTCGTTATTAACTTATTGGCAGTGTGTCACGGTAATCAAAGAAAACAGAGAGCAAAACCCTGATGTTTGAACTTGTGGTGCTTTCTTGGTCTTGATTCTCCTGGACTTTTCCATGTGGAAGATTGTACTTTGGTCTCAATGTCATAACTATATACCCATGATTCGTCAGCGGTTATGACCATTTTAAGCAAATCTGGATCCTTGTTGACTCTTCCTTAGCGATGTTAATGAGACGATTTATTTTGATCAAGACCAATACCTGTCCAGCAAAGCTAATATCATGCAAGAGGTGCCTCAAGGGTCAATTTTTGGATCCCTTCTCTTCTTGTTATATGTGAATGATATGTCTCAAGCGTTGAAACTTGGTAGTATATATCAGTTTGCTGACGACACATCGGTTATTGTTACAGAAAATAATATGTTCGAACTCTCAACAAAAACTTCAACTGTTTCACTAAGCATGAGCATGTGGTGTGAAAAAAACATGCTCAAGTTGAACTTCCAGTAAAAGAAACAACATTGAGGAATCCCCATCTGTAAAACTCTAATGGAAATCGATTCCATCATCAGATCATATAAAATTTCAGCTGGGGAAGACACATGAACATCTTGAATAGTAGGCTGAACTCCATCTGAACTCTCCAACTCTCAACTCAGATGAATTGAACTCATTTTATTGTTCAGTGGCAACTAAACTGGCTGAAAATTGTGGAAAACGACCCAATGTCGTACTTGAAGAATGTTACAGTACCTTCTACTTTCTTCTTCACACATACGGATATCTATGAAATGAAAGGAATGTTTTGTGAAATCAACAATAAAAATTCGGTGGGGTGGGATGCCATTTTCTTAAAAATTCTGATAACTCCTCCTGATAGGGCTTTGACTGTGTTGGCAGAGGCAACAAATTTCTCATTCTTTAAAGGTATGTTCCCATCGTGTCTGAAAATTGCCACAATCATTTCTCTACATAAAGGAGGCGATCTTGACAACCCAGCTTATTTTAGGCCAGTTGCTTTGCTACCCGTCTTGTCTACAGTTATAGAAAAACTGGTAAAAAAACGAGTAATATCCTTCCTCGAGAAAAACAATCTGATAAATTTATTCCAATTTGGCTTTCAGTCTTCAAAAGGTACACAAGACGCCATATTTTCACTCCTGGAAAACCTGTACACCAATCTTAACGACAGAGAATCTGCGGCGGCCATGTTTTGTGACCTAACCAAGGCCTTCGATTGTGTAGACCACATGCTACTTCTTCACAAGCTAGAAGTTTACGGATTTAGAGGATCCGCATTACTTTGGTTTGAAACGTACCTTTCTCATCGGCGGCAGAATGTTCTATTAGATGGAATTTCATCAGAGGAACGTTTCATTGTCAGTGGGGTTCCACAAGGTTCCGTTCTGGGACCGGTGTTGTTTCTCATTTATGTCAATGACTTAGTCCATGTTGACATAAGTGGTAAATTCACATGTTTCGCTGACGGCACCACTATCCTCTGGCATGGCAATACCGCCTCCAATTTACTTGATCAAATCATCGTCGACATAAGAAGGGTTAAAGAGTGGTGTGATTCCAATCTTTTTAATAAAGCATAATTTGATTTGATTTAATATATGATATCTACGGGACCAAGTATGTGTCAGTTGTTTGAGAACATATTCTGTTTAAAATCTGTTTTTCCGTTAATCAGCTGCCGCCCCCATACAACTCAGAAGTTGAGAAACTTGTGCGAGCTAAGGACTAACGAGGTCTTACCTTTTAACGTGTGACTCCTAACAGGGAGCATATTACTATGCTCAATTATTTTCTATGGTATCATATTTTGGGGCTCTCCATCAAGGTCACAAAGAATATTGGTAACACATAAGAAAATTACAAGATGTATATTAAGATTGGATCGTAATACTTCATACTGGAAACTAACAATTATTTTCAAAGTTTTCACAGAAATGGTGAAGGATGAAATAAAATAATTGAAATTTGTTAAAAAAAAACATTACATTTCGAATTGAAAAGAGTAAATGGTGAATCCAAATAATGAAACTCAAGATTTTGTTCGAATAATAATTATGACTGTTCCGTCTTTACCTCTATTTTGAATTCAATTTTAATTAATCACTATACAGACCCCGATATTACTGTGCTTGCCTCTATTGGTGAATATATCGCGCACCCCTCGTATACGATATTCCGTCAAAAATGGTCGGGGTTGCGAGAGAAGAAACGGGTTGCTCAAATGCTCAACGAGCAGCCAAAGTGGAATAACATTATTGCCTGCCGGAATGTGAAACCGGAAACCTACATTATTCAAAACGAGTTGCTGACATTCTCAAATGAAGCACAGTTCAGTTCAATTTAAAATATTTGCTCTTGCTATTTAGCAAATTCATGCACATGGACTACATTCAAATTCATGTCACGAGAAGTACAGTCCGCGTACATTGATACTCAACAATGATACTCCATGAGAAATGGGTCGTCAAAAGGACTTTTGACGGTTCTCGGAGAAATCAAACCTTATGCACTGATTGGACTATACAGAGTTGATTTAATGATTAGGAGATCACAGAAGCTGTCACCACCAAAATGTTGCTACTATTTGGAAGCTTATAAGATGACATTGGCATTCTTAGACGTGTAATTAAACAGGGACGTTCTGGTATTTGTAACTTTGTCACCTGCATCCCTATCAAAAGTATTTTTTATTCAGCAATATTTCTCCATTTTTCGAAAAATTCAGGAGAAAAAAACCATAGGCTCAGTGATTTCTCATCAACACAAATTTCAGTTTTGAAATTATACTGTAGGTAAGTTAAGAAATTCCTACTGAATTAGATTAACTGTGGGAAGATTACTATTTTGAATTTCATTCAAAACAACAAATATTTTGTAAATTTGTAATTGAATCATTAATAATTCCTCGCATTTGCCAAAAATAAATGTTTTTCATCATTGTTTACTACATTGTATATTTGGATTTATTCCAG